TCAACCTCCTTTGCCATCTCTGTTATCTAAATGTTGTACATAGGGTTTTCAGAGGCCTGCTATTTCAGAAGTGGATGGCCAATCCTTCTTCCTAGTCTTTCTTAATGTGAATGTTCAGATTAAGAGAAGTATTAGACAGACTAGCAGGCTTATATAAGCTCATGAGACCTCAGGGCTAGCTCTCTACTTTGGGATATCTACCTTCAACAGAGAATCTACAATGCTCACCTGTCTCTGCAAACCAGCTTGCATACCTACAGTCATGTGAGTAATTTCCCTGACGGGTCTGAGTTTCTGGGAGACCTTCAAGTGAACCCCTGAAGAGCCAAGGGACACAGAGGAGCCAAAGAACAGAACAAAGGAGGGCCTGTGGATGTTGCAAATCATGGATTTATATAGAAAATCAAACATTTGGGGCAATATTGACTCGACACGTCTTGTAACTAGTCTGCTACTAATCTTAGCAGAACAAATTATAAATATACTTCACATGACAAAAAGCTATGGAAAGATTTAAACACAGAATCTGTTTTGGATGGTTACCAGGGATGGGAAGGGAGGGAAGGGATAGTAAAAATAAATAGATAGGTGAAGGGAAAGGCAATATAATACTAAGGGTTGATCACACATTGTAATTCATTAATTCTATTAATCAAACATAATGTGAATGAAAAACAAACATGATTTATAAACTTTCACTCAGACAAAAACAAAGAAACAAACAAAACCTCTTGCTTTTTTAAGGAGCCCTGATGGTATTGTAGTTAAAGTGCTGGGCTTCCAATCAAAAAGTCAACAGTTCAAGCCCACCAGCTGCTCCATGGGAGAAAGATGTGACCGTCTGCTTCCATAAAGATACAACCTTGGAAACCCGAGGCGGCCAGTTCTGCTGTCCTATAGTGTTACTGTGAGATGAAACGAATCAAGAGACAGCAATGGTTTGAGTTTACCAACCCCCATCCCTTTGAAGGTCTCTAGGTGGAGCCAACAGTTTCTAGGTCAATTGCTAATGTGAAAGTTGACAATTTACAGCCTTGGGGGAAAAGCATAGCTATTTATGCATCAGGACTGACTCATGAGCCCTGAGTCAATGATGGTGAGGTTTTTAAAGATCTTTTTCCTGGGGTGATCACTACCTTTTATACTTTATCTGGACAAAATAAGTGCTAAGTAATTACTTACATTCATCTTAGTTACCCACTTGTAACAAATTTAAAACACTGTAGTTATTATAATGTTATTATAATTCTGAAAGTTTAAAAAAGAAACCATTTCAAAATTCATTCCAAAAAACTGGAAATCCGTTGTTTCTTTCATATTCAATTTGCCTAAACAAAAATTCCTTATTTACTCTTTCAATTTGGTCTGAAGAGAATAGGTTGAATCCAGGAATGAAATAATGCTTCAGTTGCTGTGTGCTGAGGCACTGCAGGAAGTACGTCACAAAGTTATCAAAGCACAGGGCCAGATCTCTGGGGAGCCACTGGCTGTCATCTGGGTCCCGGGTACAAAGGTGCAAGAAGGCAGTTTTCACATGGTAAGAGCAGAATTTGTCCAGTTCTTTGCGGTCTTCAAACTTTTTTTTCAGCTGTTCTAGAAGGTACTTCATTAGTTTTAAACAGTCTTTCCTGTTGATTGAAATAAAAATTAGAATCTGTCTCATTTCACAAAGGCTTTTCGATAGCTTACAGGAAAACTATTAAAATAATAATGATACATAAGTAGTCACCTTAAAACCTAATTTTTAGAAATAGATATGCTTTGAAGTTTCAAAAACATCTTTTCTTTCTTCAGCCCACTTCCAGTTCCTACCAAAATTAACTCAACATAAAATGGATATTCAAGGGAGCTCTGGTGGCCTAGTGGCAAGAAGCTGCACTGCAATCCCAGAGGCACACGGTTCAAATCCACCTCTGCTGGAGAAGGAGGGACAATCTCCTCTTGGACCAGTAAGACCCGATTTGATGGTACACACACCAAATATAATATTTTTTAAAAAAGAAAAAATGGATATTAATTTTATTCACCTAGTTATTTAGTAGCTGGGTTTTGTTTTACTTTTTATTAAATAATCTTGTGCACACGCGTGTGCACATACACACTCTTCACCCTTAACCAATGTAAGATAAAAAGGGCAGCATGTGCCCAGAGAGAAAGTTCACTTTAAAGACTAGTTATGCCTGATGCGGGCCATGATATTTGCAGTTGTTTCATATGCATGTAACAGTTGAACAGTGAATAAAGAAGAATGAAGAGTCAGTGTGTGAATGTGGTGTTAGTGAAGAATATTGAACAAGTTATGGTGGTAGTGTTTGTTGTTAGGTGCCAACAAGTCAAATATGACTCATAGCAACCCTATGACGAACAGATCTGACCAAATATGAGGATACTTAAGTCAAATATAGATTCCCCACATCCTCCTGGGTACTTTAAATCATCTTTATTAGGCACCTTCAAGTCAAGGACATACAGCTACTAGACATATAGCTACATACAGCTACAGATCTGAACCCTGTCCTATCCTGTGCAGTCCTTATCATCTCTGACACACTTGAGCCATTGCTGTAGTCCCTGTGTCAAGCCATCTTTTTGAAGATGTTCCTCTCTTTTGCTGACCCTCCACCTTTCTTAACATGATGTATTTCTCCAAAGAATAGCCTCTCTTAGCAACCTGCCCAGGTATATGAGATGAAGTCATCTTTGCCTGCAAGAAGCACTCTGGTTACACCCTCAACAAAACATAGCTGTGTGTTTGTTCTCTTGGCAGTTTATTCAGTACTCTTCTCCAACACCAAAGCTCAGAAGCATCAATTCTTCTATCGTCTTTATTCACTGCCCAGCTCTCAAATGTATAGCAAGTGATTGAAAAGACCATGGCCTGAAATAGGTGCACCTCAGTCTTCAAACTGACATCATTGCTCTTCAGTAATTTGGAGAGGTCCCTGAAAGCAAACTTGCCCAATGCAATGTGTCTCCTGATCTCCTAACTGTTGGTATCAAGGGTGTTGATTGTGGATCTAAGTAAGATGAAGTCATTAACAATTTCATTGTTTTCTCCATCTATCATGTTTTGCTTACTGGTCCAGTGGTGATGACTTTTGTCTTCTTGGATGTTAAAATTAAATCCATATTGAAGGCTGTAGTCTTTGATCTTCTGTAGCAAGGGTTTCAAGTCCTCCTCACTTTCAGCAAGGAAGGTTGTGCCATCTGCATAACACAGGTTGATGAGTCTTCCTCCGATCCTGATTCCACATTCCTCTTCATAGAGTACAGCTTCTCCAATGATTCACTAAATATACAGATTAAATTGTTGTTCTTGTTGTTGTTATGTGTTGTCAAGTTGCCTGCAACTCATAGTGACCCTATGTACGAAAGCCCCAAACCCTGCTTTATCCTGTGCCAATTTTATTGTCTTTTACACACTGACTCCCCTTACCCCAGTCACCGAATCAATCCATCTCATTGAGGATCTCCCTCTCCTGCCCTGTCCCTCCATCCTTTCAAGCATGACATCCCTCTCCAAGGACCAGTTCCTCCTTGCAACATGTCCAAAGTATGTCAGATGAAGCTTCAGAATCCTTGCCTCTAAGGAGCAGCCTGGTTTATCCCTCTCCAAGACAAACGGATTAAATAGGTATGGAATAAGGATACAATCCTAATGGCCACTTTACATGTTTTTAAACTATGCAGAATTCCCTTGCTCCATTCAGACAACAGTTTTCTGGTCTAGGAATAGGTTTCATATTAGCATGATTCAATGTTCTGGTACTCCTATAATTTTCAATGTGTTTGTTATGATCCACACCGTCAAATGCCCTTTGCATTATCAATAAAATACCAATAGACATTCTTCTGTTACTGTGTACTTTTAGCCAGGATCCATGTGACACCAGTAATTATAGCCCTGGTGCAATTGTCTCTTCTGAACCCAGGTTAAGTCATCGTTAGATACTTATGTTGTTGTTGTTATGTGCCATCAAGTCACCTGTGACCCTGCTCTATTCTATTCTTATTGTCTCTGACACACCTAATATTCAATAAAATGTACCTTTTAGCCTTTGATCACTTAATTCCATATATTTTTTTTTAATCCCCACTTGGTTGAATATGTGAATGTGGCTTCTTGCAGATATGGAGGGCCAACTCTATTTCTATTTTCCTGTCAGCTATTTAATAGTCAATAAAACTTAACATTTATAAAAAATATTCCTGTGTATTAGGAATGACGTTTTCTTCAACATTGCACATAAACCTTGATCGAACTTCCCTGCTTTTCCCATCATCCTCTCTCTCTTTGCCATCTTCCCTGCCCTCTGCACTCTCAAGCCAGGATGGGCAGTTGTGCAGTGTCAGCAGGTTCAAGACCTACCCCGGAGATGTTAGGCGCTGTGTCAGGACCGACCAGAAGGTGTTCCAGTTTCTGAATGCAAAATGCCAGTCGGCATTCCTCTCCAAAAGGAACCCACAGATAAACTGGACTGTCTTTTACAGAACAAAACACAAAAAGGGCCATTGGAAGAAATTCTAAAGAAAAGGACCTGTGCAGTAAATTCCACAGTGCCCTCACTGTGCATCTCTTGCTGATACAATGGCCAAGAGAAATTAAAAGCCTGAAGTTAGAAAAGCTCAATGGGGGGGGGGGGAAGAAAGGCTCAATGAGAACCTATCCTGGCTGCCGAGAACCAAAAAAAAAAAGCCCCACAAAATCACTTGTTGTTGTTATGTGCCATTGAGTCGCTTGTGACTCATAGCGACCCTATGTACAACAGCTCTAAACTCTGCTCTGTCCTGTGCCAATCTCATTGCCTCCGACACACTCATCCTGATTGCCCCAGTCACCGAATCAATACATCTCCCAGAGGGACTTCCCCTCCTGCACCTGCCCTCCACCCTCCCAAGCATGATGTCTCTCTCCAAAGACCGGCCTCTCCTTACAACATGACCAAAGTACGCTCCTCCAAGGAGCAGCCCGGTTTAACCCTCTCCAGGATGAATCTGTTTGTTCTCTTAGCAGTCCATGGCACCTTCAGCACTCTTCTCCAACACCAAAGCTCAAAAGCATCAATTCTCCTACTATCCTCCTTGGTCACTGTCCAGCTCTCTGATGCATAACAAGTGATTGCAAAGACCATGGCCTGTACCAGATGCATCTTTGTCTCCAGAGACACACCGTTGCTCTTGAGTACTTTAGAGAGGTCCCTAACAGCAGACTTTCCCATGGCAAAAATTGTGAAGCCTGTGAAAGTTTCTGCTCCCCGAGTTGGTGGAAAACACTAAGTTGGTAGATGAGACTTAAATAAAGATACAAATGTATATATATATTTTAAAAAGAACTTCCTGTGCCCATAATTTAGGTATTCCCTGTTTTGATATTTTAACTTCTGTGACCTTTTTGCACACAAGCTATTGTTAAAAAGTAAAATGAACAATTTAATTTTGATTTTAGTTTTTTATGATGTGGACGCTATGAAGAAAAACAATCATCTCATAGTATTGTTTCAAGTCTGACCAGTCAGTCTGAACTTGGCTTTCAACCCAGTCAAGCCATCCCAAAGAAAGGATGGAATAAAAATGGCCTTTTGGTCTCCACTCATTACATATAACCATATACATTACCTAGGAGCAGTCAGACCACTGACTGTGACTTTGTCACAGGTAGTGTTTATCGTCTCTTGCACTCTTAATATCCACTGTGATCTGGGCCTTGCCTTCTAACTATACTACTGGTCGCGTGGCTACAACTTCTTATCCTCACCTTCAGAACAATAACAATCCCACCCAGCCCTGCTCTGCCTCTAGAACCCAACTCAGCAATGACCATCATTAGGCTTGAAATAACCATGAGTTATCAAGTGTTGGGGGTGTAGCTCAGTGGTAGAGCATGTGCTTTGCATCTACGACATCCCAGAGCCTCTAACTGCAGAATTTGTTTAATGAGCTCTGGTGGCCTAGTGGCAAGAAACTGCAGTGCAATCCCACAGGCATCTGGTTCGAGGCCCCAGCTGTTCCACAAGAAAAGGTTGGGCAATTGCATCTTGTGCCATTAACTGCCTCTCAAATAACCATGCGAAAAAAAGAATTAAGTGTTACACAGATAAACTGCCATTTAAAAAAAAAAATAAGAAAGTTACCTGCAACATTTCATGCCCCCATTTTCACAGCATGTTTTAGATTGTCCATGACTTTCCAAAATGTACTTTTCAATGTGAGAGAAGGACAACCGCCACGTTTCTTCTTCAATTTGAAAAGAAAAAGACAGTATTTCATTTAAATGACCCATATCTTTAAAGACAAATTTAACCTATGCTTTTCATTAAAATATCATTCTTTAAAGTTCTGAGAGGAAAGACGAAAAGATGTGAACAAATAAATAATGTAATTACATATCAAAATGTGGGCTGAGATGGGACAAATGGTAATGGAGCAGAGTAAGATCTTAAAGTAGTCATGGTTAGGTAAACTTTTATACACTCTTACATTCAGTTTTCCAATATTTTCTCTTACAGCATCCTTTCAAGATTTAGCATTAATTAAATTAAAGAATATTTTACTGTTATCTTTTCATGAGGGTTTGTGTAAGAACAGAAGGATTTCCTCTTTCCCCTAAGTTGAACTGTGATTAGCTCTTTTAAGCTGTGACCACTGGATCAAGATAAGAGCAGTCAAGAAATTTTTTAAAAGCACATTGTTGTTGTTGTTATGTGCCATTGAGTCGCTTGTGACTCATAGCGACCCTATGTACAACAGCCCTAAACTCTGCTCTGTCCTGTGCCAATCACACTGTCTCTGACACTCCTATCCCGATTATCCCAGTCACTGAATCAATCCACCTCATAGAGGGCCTTCCCCTCCTGCGCTGTCCCTCCACTCTCCCAAGCATGATGTCCTTCTCAAAGGACCGGTCTCTCCTCACAACATGTCCAAAGTATGTTAGACGGAGCCTCAGAATCCTTGCCTCCAAGGAGCCACCCGGTTTAACCCTTTCCAGGACGAATCTGTTTGTTTTCCTAGCAATCCATGGTATTCTCAATACTCTTCTCCATCACCACAGCTCAAAGGCATCAATTCTTCTTCTATCCTCCAGAGGAAGACTGTCACAAGATGGGTTGACACAGTGACTGTAACAATGGGCTGGAGCCCGGCAGAGATTATAAGGATGGCACAGGATAGGACAAGGTTCAGATCTATTGTTCATAGTGTTGCTACTAGTTGTAGGCAACTTGACCGCACCTAACAACACACAAAATTAACAAAGAAGTCCCTGGACGGTACAAATAATTCAGCACTGGACTATAAACCTAAAGGTAGACAGTTCAAACCAAGCCAGAGGCCTGTGATCTCCTTCCTAAAGGGCACAGCTTTGAAAGGTCAGTAGAGGACAGTTCTATCTATACATGTGATCATCATGACTCAGAACTGATGTGATAGCACCTGAAACAGGTGTTTAAATTTCTACTTGTAACAGAATTGTCAAGCTTATTTTTTTTGCTTGCCTATCTGAACCAGAATCCAAATAAAGTCTACATATTGTGACTGGTTAAAATGTCTGTTAAACTCCTTTTAACGTAAACTCCCCATCCATCTCCTGCTTACTCCTCCCACCCCCGCCCTGCAATCTGACTCACTCACTCATTGCCACTGAGTCTGAACAGACTCCTAGCTGACCCTTCAAGGAGATGACTGAAGAGAACATGTAACAACAATCTATCTCACCTAGCAGTTTGGTTTTACTGCATATTGCCGTGTGCTTTCAGTTCCTGACCTATATATCACAACTCAACAGCTCATTGCCTTGGAGTTGGAACCTCCAGTAGGTTCTCAGAGTCTGTATCTCGCATGAGAGGAAACTGCCCATCTTTGTCCCGAAGAGCCCCTGGAGGATTCCATCTGGTAGAGAGGCACCGTTTTAGGCCAGCAGTATAACTATCCATGGACTATACCACTAGAGTACCTTCCTCACAATCTACTCACTGGGAAAATAAGACACCTGGCTGAAGAGTTACCCACACACAGAATTGTGCAGGATTCATTCCAGCAGTCTCATTTAACAAGATTCCCTTTTTTCTAGCCTACTGATAGTTGGTACTGGTATTTTTTTTATACTATTGTAATGGTGTGGTTTGTTATTTTAATGTGATTGTTACTAGTATATCAGTCATGTCATGTCATGTCGTTGATGACATGGAATCACCTGGATGCACTCACCAATCTATGCCAGGAAATTTGGAGGAGAGCTGTCTGGCCAACTGATCAGAAGAGATCCTTATTTGGTCCCATTCCCAAGAAAAGAGATCCAACAGAATGTGGAAACTATCAAACCATATCGTTACTATCACAAACAAGCAAAATACTGCTGAAGATCATTCAAAAACATCTAAAACAGTACACAGATAGGAAATTGCCAGAAGTGGAAGCAAGATTTAGAAAAGGTCATGGCATCAGAGATATCAATGGTGATGTCAAATGGATCCTGGATGAAAGTAAAAAATAACAGAAGAATGTCTATTTACGCTTTATTGACAATGCAAAGGCATATGACTGTGTGGATCATAACAAATTATGGTTAACACTGAGAAGAATGGGAAGCCCAGAACACTTAATTGTGCTCATGTGAAAGCTGTATCTACCAAGAGGCTGTTGTAAGAACAGAGCAAGGAAATACTACATGATTTAAAATTAAGAAAGGAGTGCATCAGGGCTGTATCCTTTCTCCATACCTATGCAATCTATATGCTGAGAAAATTATTCAAGAAGCTGGAATCTATTCTGAGATGCCATTGCTAAATATTTTCCCCCCAGTCTGTAGGTTTTCTTTTCACCCTATTGGAAAAAGGTTTTGATGCACACACACATATTTTTTAGAAGGTCTCATTCGTTGATTTTAACCTCTCCTGGTTGTGCACTGCTGTAATTTTTATATTTTATTTTTTAAATCTAATTTTTCATATCAAGTTTTAAAATAGCTTAAATTGCTGAGAGGTGTTTTTAGAAATGATAGCTGAATGTTCCATTTTATTAGCTGCTATTTCTGCACTAATGTCACAAGTTAATTAATTTTCTAACTACAACTCAATCATGCATTCTTGGTCTGAAACCAGGAATTTAATAAAACGTTGTTGTTAGGTGTCATCAAATAACGTCAACCCTTAGGAACAACACATCTAAATCTTGCCTTACTCCTGCACCATTTTCATGATCTCTGATATGCTCAAGTCCTTTGGTATAGTCATTGTGTCAATCTATCTTACTTGCAGTTTTCCTTTCTTTCCCAGACCCCCTTCCTTTCCAGCATGATGGAGTTTTTTCCTCCTGACAACATACCCCTAGTATGTGAGATGAAGTTTCATCATCCTTGCCTCAAAGGAGCATTCTGGTTGCATTTTGTTCAAAACAGACTTATTCGTTCTGTTGGAAGGCCATGGAATATTCAGTGTCTTCTCCAGCACTACAACTGAAAGGCATCAATCCTTCTGTCATTCTTATTGTTGTTCCATTACAGATGCATAGGAAGCAACTGAAATTTACTTGGATCAGGCGTGCCTTAATCTTTAAACAAATACCAGTCCTCATTAGTACTTTAGAGAGCTCCTTGACAGTAGATTTCCCCAATACAACACACATCTTTTGACTGCTTGTACCATGGGTGTTGATTATAGATCCATGTCATTGTCCATCTATCATGATGTTGCCTTTGATCCAGTGGTGAGGATTTTGGTTTTCTTGATATTGGATATAATCCATGTTGAAGGCTTTAATCTTTGATCTTCTGCAGGAAGTATTTTTTCTCTATTTTCAGAGGAGTGTCATCTGCATAATTCAGGATGTTGATAAGTTATCTTCCTATCCTGAAGCTACATTCTTTATAAAGTCCAGCTTCTTGAATTATTTGCTCAGCATATAGATTAACTAGATATGCAGAAAGGACACAATCTTGAGGCACACCTTTCTTGACTTTAAACTGTGCAGTGCTCCCTTGTTCTATAAGGACAGCTGATCCTTGATTAATATATAGGTCTTGCTTGAGCACAATTACGTGTTCTGAGATTCTTAGACTTCTTAACATTATCCATAATTTGATACTAGAGTATTGTTATTCATTTTATGGGTGAAGTATAATATTTATATTCTAGTTTACATATTGGAAAGGCACACAGATGAAATTATATTTTCTGTATTTCCTCAAAGCAATGAAGAAAAGTTTAGAAATGTGTGGGAATATAGATGAATCTATATTGGCTAAAATTTTATAATTGCTGAAGCTAGATGATGCAATACATGAGAATTCCATGTAGTCTTCAGCTTCCTTTTATATTGGCTTAAAGTTCTCCATAATAAAAAGTTTTAAATTATGTTAATTGCCTTTAAAAAATCTAACAAGATATTTACAACTGCCACACTTGCCTTGCCAGCTGCACGGTCTATGGCATCAGTGTGACAAGCGATGCGTGACTACAGGCTGCCAGGGTCCTCCAGCATGATGAAGGCAAAGGTTGAGCTGAAGCCCGGATATTTGTGGAGACGTCTCACGCAAACTCTAGGACTAAGTCAG